AAATCTGGCCTCAGACACTTACTAGCAGTGTGACCCTGAGCAAGTCACTTAAGCTGAATTGCCTCCAGAAAACAAAAACAAAAAAACAAGTTCAGTTAAAAACTATTTATAAGTAATTGGGGAAATAATGTATTATTAGGGGGCAGCTAGGTGGTACAGTAGATAGAGCACAGGCCTTGGAGTCAGGAGGACCTGAGTTCAAATCCAGCCTCAAACACTTGACACTTAACTACCTGTGTGACCCTGGGCAAGTCACTTAACTCCATGCCTAGCCCCCCCCCCAAATATATATACATATATATATATACATACACATATATATAATTATTATTAAAATAAGTTCAGGGACCCCAAGTTAAGAACCCCTGCTCTAGCCCAGCACCCTCATTTTACAGATGAGACACTGAGGCCCAGAAAGGTTTAAGTAACTTGCCCAACTGAAAGAAAACACAGGTTAAGTGACTGGAGAGCTGGGATTTGAAGACTGGTCCCCTGACTTCAAATCCTCCTTTCTTTCAATTGTAGAACATTGTCTCCTAAAATGTATTATCTTCCCTCTCTCAACCATAAAGTTATTATGAAAGAAATCATGTATGTCAAGCACTTTGTAAGCCTCAAAGTACTAGATAAGCATTAAGTGTTTCTATTATTTCCCTAAATCCTTATGGCACAATATAAAAGGAAATTGGCATTCTGTGCCCCTAACCTGGAGTCCTTCTTCCTTCTCTATTTCTTTTTAAAGGCATAACCAGCCTTGAAATCACCTAAGCTCAAAAAACAATTTTTTTTTTGCTTAGGCAATTAGGGTTAAGTGACTTGCCCAGGGTCACACAGCTAGTAAGTGTCAAGTGTCTCAGGCCTCATTTGAACTCAGGTCCTCCTGACTCCAAGGCCAGAGCTCTCTCCACTAAAGCTCAAAAATTTGATGTTATCTCTGCCTCTTCCCTCTCCTTTGGCTCTCCCTCCCACCCCCATCTAATCTGTGTTAATCAATTGGCTCCACCATCATTCCAGTGGACTTCCAAGAGTCTAGGAAGTGACCTAGCTCAGGGGTGGGGAACCTAGGGGGAACCCTCTAGATCCTTGGGTACGACCTTTTGACCAAGTCCAAGTTTTACAGAACAAGTGCTTTTATTAAGGAGATTTGTTCTGTGAAGTTTGAGTCAGTCCAAGGGCCGCACTTGAGGACCTAGAGGGCCATATGTGGCCTCCATTCCGCAGGTCCCCTCCTCTGACCTAGACCAAAATATTCCTTCCCCAGCTTGTTATTGGTCAATCCTTTCTGGCTTTCCATGAGCCCATTTGGGATTTTCTTGGCAAAAATACTGGAGTGGTTTGCCATTTCCCTCTCCAGTTCATTTTACAGATGAGGAAACTGAAGCAAATAGGGTGAAATGATTTGCCCAGGGTCACATAGCTAGTAAGTGTCTGAGGTTGGATTTGAACTCAGGTCCTCTTGATTTGAGGGCCTGAGGGCCCGAATTCTATCCACTAGGCCACCTAGCTGCCCTCCCTTCCTCGCTATTAATCTCCTATTTGTGAGTAGTCTCTTATTAGAACATAAGCTCTTCAAAGGCAGGGACTATCTTGCTTTTTGTATTTTTATCCCATTTAATAAGGTACCTGGCACATAGTAAGCGCTTAATAAGTGCTTTTTCATTCATTCATTAATCAGTGGACAAGCTGTATAAAGAGGAAGTGGGGTATAGTAGAAAGAAAGATCCTGGCTCTGCTGCCTACAGTACTTGCTACCTGTATGATGCTGAGCAAGTCACAAGCTCCCTGGGCCTCAGTTTCCTTATCTGTGAAACGAGGAGTTTCCGGCTCCAGACCTATGACGTAAAGCAGTGGTTCTGAAGTACCGCAGACCCTTTCAGGGCATCCATGAGGTCAAAAGTATTCTCATAATAATACTAAGACATCTTAATTTCTAATATGGTAAATATCAATGGCTATTACTTAACAAAAGCTTTTGGGAGGGGTCCTCAGTTTTTAAGAGTTTAAAAGGATCCTGAGATCAAAAAAGTTTGAAAACCACTGGTCAAGATTGTGCCTCCACAATATCCCTCACATCCATCCCTCCTTACTGGGACTTTAGGCAAGTTACACTCCCTCTATGGGCCTCAGTTTCTATATCTGTAAAAAGAAGAGCTCTAGGTCTCAGACTAGACACTTGACACTGTGTGACCCTGGGCAAGCCATTTAACCCCAATTGCCTCGCAAAAAAAAAAAAATTTTTAACTTAAAAAAAGGTTCTAGGCTGTTTCCCTCATAACATTGAAAAGATGAACAGAAGAAAGCATCTGGGGCAGCTAGGTGGCGCAGTGAATAGAGCACCGGCTCTGGAATGAGGAGGACCTGAGTTCAAATGTGACCTCAGACACATAACACCCACTAGCTGTGTGACTCTGGGTAAATCACTTAATCCCAAGTGCCTCACCCCTCCCCCAAAAAGGGGGCTCTGATTAGATGATCTCCAAGATTCTGTCCAGTTCTAAATCTTACTCTCCTGTATTAGCAATAATAATAAACAATAATATAAAACTTTAAAGTTGGCACATTATCTCATCTGAGCCTCATAACAATACTTGTGTTGATAGGTATTACATATATTATTATCCCATTTTACAGATAAAGAAAATGAGGCCCCAGAGATAAGTAATACAAACAGTTCCTCAAATAAGGGATGAAAACCCAGGTCTTTCAGGTCCTGAGTGTAACATCGTATACATTATACATCACTCTGATTCTGCAAATCTCTCCACTATCACTATTGCAATCCTCTAACTGGTGTTCCTGTCTCCAGTTTCTACATAACTTCAACATAATCTTTCCAATGCACAGGACAGAATGAGAAGCAACTTGCAGAAGGTTTCACAGAGGCAGACAATGGCTGTACGTAGAGAAAAATTTTCTAATCTGTCCAGAAGTGGAATGGGATTCTATATTTAAACAAAGAATTGACAATCACTTACCAGAAATATTGTAGTAGATAAGAACTACATCACCCCTCACACCCCTCCCAGCTCAAAAACTTGCAAATGGCTCCCTCCTGGACACTGGATTTGATATCTCCCATCCCCAATAGAAGGAAAGCCTCCTGAGGGCAGACTCTTTTTGTCTCTGTTTCCCTAACTACCCTTGCACAGCCGGGCACACAGAAGGTACTTAATAAATGTTTGTTTAATAGAATTTAGTTGAATTCATTTGAATGACTAGACTAGAGGGTTAAGGGAGGGGATGAAGATTGAAGGCAGAATTGATCTTGGGAAGACCCCAGAGGTCCTAGAGAGTAATAGGTTTGGCTGAAGACCCTCTCAGTTCCCACCTCTTAAATTGTCTCCCTCAGAGCTCACACCATTACCCCTGCCCCCATTCTCTTAATCCCCCTGCCTCTCTGTCTCTGTCCCCTCTCTTCGAACCTCTGTCTCAAGGCCCAGTTCCCATCTCTTTCTCCCTCCTAGGACTTTGTCAATGTGCATCTCTTTTTGGGTTCAAAATCACAGAATCTCAGATCCGGAAAGGGCCTCAGAGCAGGAATTCCCCTCCTCCACAATACATCCCCTACAAGCCATCAATTCAACAAATAGCAATTAAGCACCTACTGTGTAAAAGGTACTATTTAAATCAACCAATAAGTAGTTATTAAGTGCCTACTATGTGCTGGGGGTGGGGGAGATGGATTACAACTGCAAGGAATGCCACAAAATCCTTCTTCATATGGAATTTACATTCTAATAGACATAAGTACATATAACAATAATAATAGCGACTAACATTTACTTTATACTTTACACTTACTATGTGCCAGACATTACTAAATGCTCTACAATTATGATCTCATTGGATCCTCACAACAATATATATGATAAATATAAAGAGAATAAATGCAGAGTAGTCAGGGATAGAGGGTACTAGCAACTGGAAGGAGGGGGAGAGAAAATCAGAAAAGACTCCACATAGCTCAAGGGAGTCCAGTGTCTGGATCTAGGCTGCAGCCTTTTGACCTAGTCCAAGATCTACGGAACAAATCCTTTTATCACTGCACTTGAGGACGTAGAGGGCCACATGTGGCCTCGAGGCCGCAGGCTCCCCACCCCGGCCAAAGGAAGAGAACAGATCTATGAGGTGGAGGGGAGGAGGGAGTATACTTCAGGCATGGCCTGGACTGGATTGGGGAGAGGCTGGAGGCAGGGAGGTCAAAGAGGAGGTTATTCTGATAATCTATGTTAGAGGTGATGTTGATGTTTGTCCTTTATTCCCTAAGAGGACCAATGACTTCATGAGGGTAATGTCTTGACTTGCATGTGAATGAGGGACTGAGCTGAAGGGATGGTTATGGGAGTAGAGAAAAGGGCTGAGATGTTTATTTAACAAATGATTAGATTTGTGGGAATATTTATTTATCACTTGATTAGATATGTGGGAACATGTTAAAGACTGGGTCTAGAAAGACCAAAGTGAAACAGTCCCAGTCCACAAGGAACTTACATTCTACTAGACATTTGCTTTTCTTTGTATCTCCAGTACTTAGCACAGAGCCTGGTATACAGTAAGCACTTAATACTTGTGACTGACTAGATCTCTGCATTTCTGTCTCCATCTCTCTCACTTGTTTTATTGATCTTTCCCTGACCTTGTTCCCGTCTCTCCCCGTCTGTCTCCATCTCTCTCTCTCTCTCTCTCTCTCTCTCTCTCTCTCTCTCTCTCTCTCTAAATTTCTGTCTCCATAGTTGTCTCTCCAGCTCTGTCTCTGAGGGTCTCTTTCCTGTTTATATTAAAGCGTTCCTAGCCTTTTCTGTCTCCTTTAATGTTCCCAGGCTCAGGACCAGCTCCATCCCTATGGCTATATAAGGCTGATTCACTTTCTCCCTCACTCCCCCTGGTACTTTCCTGCTCTCTGTTCCGCCCCTTTCCCCACCCCTCTATCTGCCTATCTCTCCCCCCCTTCCTTTCTCACACATTCTTCTGCCTTGTATGGCCAGGGCCTGACTGGGGCGGGGTAAGGCTGGGCCTTGGGGCTACTGGGCTCGGCTGGGGCTGAGTCCTGCACTCACTCCCTCCCTGCTTCTGCCAAAACTGCTGCCTCCTCCACTCCCTCTACCCGGACCCCTGGAACCCAGGTAGGAACTAGCCAGGCCCCTGCTTCTGGCCACTGGACCAAAGGATGGGGGACCAAGGGGGGATGAGATGGTCCTGGGTCTGGAGGAAAAGATTGTCTAGGAGTATCTGAGGCTGGCCAGGCCTTCACAGAACATCATAGCAGGGAAGGTGTTTAGAGATCATTTGAGTTATACCTCTTAAGTGGCAGGTGAGGAAACTGAGGCCCACAGAGGGAAAGTTCATACAATGAGTTCCTGGAAAGCTCAGGCCTAGCACCAGGCCTCCTGGCTCCCAGTCTGGGGCTCTCTCCACTCTGGTAAACTGAGATTCAACCCAGCTCCTGAGGTAATCCTGAAGGGTGGAGGTATTACAGTCACATTAGGGAACCCATACTCACCCACAGAGCAACAGTCCAGACTGGCCCAAGAACCGTAGGGAAACTTAGAGGAGAGGCGAGGCCCCCTTTAGGGACTGGGGTCCAGGCTTGGAAGGAGAAAGGGTACAGGTTAGAAGACTCTGGTTGGTGGTAAGCAGTTGGCGTATCTCAAAGCTGGCAGGGAATTCAGAAGGCATGTATTCCAGTGCATATTTGGGCAGGAATCGCCTGTACAGAATCCCAGAAAGGGTACAGCCTCCACTAGAAGATGTCGCTGGGGACAGCTCTAAGGGTTGGCAGTCCTTCCTTGTAGCGACAGACAGACAGACATAGAGATATCCATATATAGAGTTATAGAAGGGACTACGGTTAAATCTGTTTATATATACATATGATATATATATATACACATACATATATATTGATAAGGGACTAAGGTTAAATATATATGGTTAAATCCATATATCTATAGATAAGGGACTAAAGTTAAATTCATTTATCTCTATATAGCTCTATATAAAGTTAAATCCATTTATATATACATATAATATATACATACACATACATATATATTAATAGATAAGGGGCCAAGGTTAAATCTAGATAGATATGAGATTAAATCCATATGTCTATATCAATTGATAAGGGACTAAGGTTAAATTCATTTATCTCTACATATAGCTCTATATAGGGTTAAATCCATATATCTATAGATCTATACCAATAGATAAGGGACTAAGGTTAAATACATATACATATGTGTGTGTAAACACACACACACACACACACATATGGTTAAATCTATACATCTATAGATAAGGTATAATGGTTAAATCTAGATAGATCAAGCACCAGCCCTGGAGTCAGTAGGACCTGACTTCAAATCCAGCCTCAGACACATAACACTCACTAGCTGTGTGACTCTGGGCAAGTCACTTAACCGCAACTGCCTCACCAAAAAAACAAATAAATCTAGATAGATGGACAGATCTATATAAGGTTAAATCTATATATCTATAGATCGATATCAGTTCCTTCCAACTGATTTAATCTGATTTGTTACAAATGCCACCTATTCTTGCTCCTGATTGTTTTCTGGGGCCAAGCAATGTGAATCTAATTGTTTTTCTCATAGCTCAAGTATCATCATATCCCAATTCAACTCAGCAAACATTTATTGACCACCTCGTGTGTGATAAGAGGCCTTCTGGAGCACGGCAGACCAGATTCAAGTTCTGCCAATGATATATAATGACCGTATGACCCTGGACAAGTTGCTTAACCTTTCAGTGCTCTAGACAACTCTTAAATTGCAACCACAAACACAAGGTGCCAAGCTGCATTGGTAGGAGTTTCTTGACCAGGGAGCTCACCAGTCCAGTTCTCATTCCCATCCTTCTTTGTGAAAGAGCTGATAAACGGCTCCAATGAGTTTTCCCTTTTCCATGCCAAGCATCAGCCTTTGACAGGTTCTCTTTTCCAGCTACTCAGCTCAGAAAACATTTATTAACTAGACCTGATCCTGCCCCCTGGCCTACCTAAAGGACCAATCCTACACAGCTCCCCACCCCACCCCCACCCTTCCCCTCAGAGGTCACTGGTTGGGGCCCCATAGAGGAGATTCCTTAATGACAATCACAGATCTCAGCTGGAAGCTTCCGACCCCAAAAACCTAATCCAATTTCCCAACTCCCTTTCTTCCTCCCCTCCTCTTTTCTTTTCTTCTGCTTCTTTTTCTTTCCGCATTCTTTTTCTTTGCTTTCTTTTTGGGCTTTCTCTAGCTTGCTCTTTCTAACTTAGGCATTAACACACACTCTCTCTCTCCTTTTGATAACTAGTCCTTTCTTTTCCTCACATACAGTTTCCCCTTCCCCTCCATCACTCCTTTTCTTACTTTTGCTCTCACTTGCTCCTTTAGCTCAAGCTGTATTACCACCTCCCCAACTTGTACTCATAGATAGGTTCAAGATACACCAGATCTGAACTCCTGAAACTATAGGTTATGAGCCCCTATGAGTGTGTTTACCTTTGGTAGTCAGCCTGTTGACACAACTAGTTCAAAGCAAAGGTTTTTACTGAAAGGGTATCAGAAGAACAGTAGCTACAAAATGTTATTCCTATAAATCTGGGGTGCACTCTCCCACAGCTACACATAATATCAGTGGAAAGAATGAGCATACACATATAGTACACCAGTACTATATGGATGGTATCTGGACGCTAAGGGGCATAGTACCCAGCACTAGACCTGGTCAGGAAGACCTGAGTTCAAATCCAGTCCCAGATACCAGCTGTGAACTTGGACAAGTTACTTAACCATCTGTCTAGACCAGTTTGTCAGTTTGTCAAATTTGTAAAATGGGGGGGGGGGTAACATTAGCACTGACCTCCTAGGGTTGTTATGAGGATAAAATAAGATACTTGTCAAGTGCTTTGAAAACCTGAAAGTGCTATATAAATGCTAGCTAGCTAGTACTAGTAATAGTAGTAGAAAGGTACACAAGGTAGCCATTCAGGCAGCTTACACACCAACATTGCACGCCCAGGACATCTTTTCTCTCTTCTCATTGTGTCCTCATGCTGCCCTCCCTGGGGCACCTGGGATGCTCCTCTCTGAAGCTCAGCTCCCAAATCACACAGCTCACAATCCTCAGAACCATCTCCTGACTCAGCTTATTCCTTAAAGACCAAGTCTAGCCCCCTAATTCCATCAAGTTTGGTTGAAGAACTTCATACCTTGGAAAGGGTTAACAGAGTGTAGTCATTTAAGTCCTTTTGTAATTTCATCAAAAGGGGATTAACTGATTAGGGGTCCTCTCATCAATCTCTCATCCACTATCACCTTTCTGTCACTCAATTTTTCTTTCAATGAGTCTGTCTCATTTTTTCTCTCAGTCATTCTCTCACATTTCTTTCCCTCTAAATTTCTTTCTCTAACTTGTTCCTTTTCTCATTCCCTCTTACCTCCTGCTTGAGTTTTTTCTTTATCTCCCTCTCTGTCTCCCCTCCCTTCTCTCTCCCCCCTCCTCTCCTCATGCTTACTCCTTTTTTACCCCTCTTTTACTTCCTTCTCTCCGTCAATCTTTACCTTCCTCATTCTCTTATCCACGTTCACTTGTTCTCCTCTGATCTCACTGTTGCAGTCTTGCTTGCTTTTTCTCACTTGTCCTTTCTCTTTCTCTATCACTCCCCAGCATCCCTTGTGCTCTCTTCATTGTTCGCACAGCCCCTCTTTGCTCTCCCGTTAGCTCTGTTCTTTCTCTAGATAACCCATTCTTTTGTTCTTTCTGTCCCATTCCTTCTCATACCCTCCAACCCCATTCTCACACATTCTCTTTTGAAATTTTTTTTAAATTTTATTGATTTCCAATTATATCCTTCTCCCTCCCTACCCAGCAAACCATCCCTAATAACAAAGAATTCAGGAGAAAATGAATGAAAAAAAGCAGGACTTCAACAGAATTAACCACCACGTCCACCGAGTCTATGCTTATGCACTATTCCACAGTCATAGGCCCCTTACCTCTGCAAAGAAGAGAGGAAAATCCATTTTCTCCTCTCTTCTCTGGGGCCAAACTCCGTCACTGTATTACCCCCATCTACCTTTTTTGTTAACTTGCTCCTTTTTCTCTCTCCCTTGCCCCTCTTCAACCCCATTCTTCTTTCCTAGTTCAGGCAACAGCACACAGTATCTACTTTTTCCTCTAATACTTCCAGGATCCATGATTTCATGAGCATGGGTGTTCCTTTCGCTAACTTGTACTGCATGTCTTAGTAGATGGTTTCTATGGTTTAAAAAAAAAAAAAGGCTTGTATTGGCCAGCCTTCTGATGGGCCCCTGGACACACAGGAGACACACACACACAAACACACACACACACACAAGTTCCTCAGCTGCTACCTAAAGCCCTCCTGGTAAAGGCCATCCTAGCCCATATTCCACTGTGGGCCCAGGCTCTTCCACCCCACAGTGAAGCAGCAGAAGAGGTCTTTAGAGAAAACTGTCACATATAAGGATGAAGATGATGATGATGCTACACTTACTCTCACTAAACACTTCCAGCCTTTCCATTTTTACAGCCCTCAAACCGTAAAGGTAGGAACACACAGACCCTTTTTTCATGGATAAACAAACAAAGCCATGGAGATCCAAATAACTTTGGATTACAGATTTTTATTTTCTTTTCTATTTACAGTTGGAGGGCACCTGAAGACACCAGCAGAGAGGAGGAGACTGAGGCCCACAGAAGGGAAGAGACTTACCTAAGATCACAAAGCAAGTCAGTAATAGATATTAGACTGGGAAAAAAACTCTGGTTGGGAGTCAGCAGACCTGGGCTCTAAGATAGGCTTTGCTACTTATTTCTGTATGACCTTGGACAAGTCATTTACCTTCACTGGGCCTTAGTTTCATCCTGTAGAAATGATGGGATTGGGCTAGATGGTCTTTAAGGTCCTTTCCAGCTTTAAATCCTATAATCCTCAGAGTCTCAGTTGCTACAGTTATTCCTTCTATGTCTATAACTCTTTACTACAAAATTTTCCCATCCATTCTCTCCTTTACAACAGCTCTAGGAAGGAGACGAGCTAAGGGTTCATATATCATTATTAATAATATTAATTAATTGTTAAATAATATTATTGCTTTAAGTATTATTGTTATTAAGTATATTATTGATATTAATATTCCATTTGACAGATGCAGCAGCAGGCAAGGGAACTGACTTATCCAAGGTCATAGAGAAAGTTAGGTTACTGGCCAGAGAAGTCAGATTTCTTTGCTCCCCAGGTCCAGGCTTCTGCCCTTGCCCCTGGCTGCAGACACCGGCTGTTGCACTAGATTGGGGGCTGACTCCTGCCCCTTATACTAACTCCTGTTTTGACTCAAGTCTCTTCCTCTGTCCCTCAGTTTCCACATTGATAAAAGGGAGTTTGAGTCAATGATTGCTAAGGACCCTTCTAGCTCCATGATTATATAACTACTTCCCTCTGGTTCTGGAGCTATCCTAGGTCTTTGGGGAACAAAGATTTGACTCAACCCCTATCCTAAAGGGACTTCCCATCTAAGCAGGACCTCAGGAGAACTGTAGTATCAACAACCTGTTAGCAAAGCCATAGGACAGAGTTAGAGAAGCCGTGCATGCCACAGCCAGGAAGACCTGACACATAGTAGGTGGATGACCCTGACCCTTGACCTCTCAGTGTCCTCCAAAGCTCTCTAAGACTGCAAGTTGTAGAGCCAGTGCTGACCTGCATTGGTAAGGAATGTTTCAACTGAGAGTTCTTAATACCAATGGAAGCACAGGACCAGGCCCCTTCCTCCATGGGATGAGGTTAATGAGGAAAGAGTAACAGATTTGTCTCCTATGGCTAGATGGTAAGAAGAATTTGTGCCCTCAGTAAAGAAGGGAAAACTGTAGTTGTCCTGGATAACTCCCTAGTACTTCAAACTCCACAAGAGGACCTGGGTTCAAATTCCACCTTGGACACTTACCTGGGACTTCCTGTTGCAGGCAGCCCTGATTTCAGCCAGGCAAAAGGCTATGCTCTTTCTGGGCAAGAGAAAGCCTGGGGAAGCCATCTAGCTGTGAAGCAGAGACTCAGAGGTGGGAGCAGGGCCTGAAAGTCAGAAGTAGCTCTAACTT